TGAACAGAGGAAGGGGCACTGCATGGTTTAAAAATAAGAAATGTTTGTGTTAGGATCATATCTTTTCTTTATACCTATTCAATATGTATGCTGAATGAATCATTTGAGAATCTAGACTATGAAGAATGTTGTGGCATTAGGTTAAAATGAATATCAACAACATACATTATGCAGATAGCACAACCTTACTTGCTGAAAGTGACGAGGACTTAAGTGCTTGTTACAGAAGACCAAAGACTACATATAGCTCACTATGGATTACATCTCAACATCAAGAAGACAAAAGTGCTCACCACTGGGCCAACAGTTAATATCATGAAAGATGAATAAAAGATTGAAATTGTCCATGATTTCATTTTACTTGGCTCTTCTATTAACTCTAGCAGTCAAAAAATCATCTACATTGGGGAAAGTCTGCTATCAGGGACTTCTCCAAAGTACTGAGGAGCAACAATATCAGTTTGAAGACTAAAGTATACCTGATTCAGGCCATAGTCTTCTCAATTATTTGCTGTGCATCTGAGAAATGGACAATGAATAAGAATGACAGAAGATAAATCGATGTCTTTTAGCTGTGGTATTGAAGAAGACTACTAAACATCCCATAGAATGCCAAAAGAACACACAAATATGCCTTAGAGAAGGTGGAGTGAGAGGGATTATTAGAGAATGCATACCTTATCTCACATAATTTGGGCATGTTTCCAGAAAGGGCTATTGTCTGAAAAAGGACATAGTGCTAGGGAAGTTGGAAGGTCAGCGAAAGAGAGGAAGACTCTCAACAAGATAGATTGACACAGTGACCGTAGCAGTGGACTCAAGTTATGTCATGTATGAAAATGGTTCAAGATCTGATAGTGTTCATTCAGATCTGCTGTTCATGGGCCTCCTTTGAGTGATGCTCAAGTAGAGGGCACATAACAACAAAACGGAAAATATTGTATTAGTCAGGATAGGCAATATCCTCTGAGGCAATGTATGGCCTCTGAAAACCTTCTGGACCATCATTTATGGGCCAGTTCTGACTTGAGAACACACAATAGCAACCAACTACAATGAAGGAAGGTTTACCCACAGGATGAAAGATTATTGAATGGTAGTAAAAATCAATAAACAGATAATCTTTCTCTCTGTCTGTCATTGCAGAAGTTTCCGAACTGACTCAACTTACCTTCCAGTGGCTTTTCAGATGTCATAAATAGCTCAGGAAGATATTGTCCATCTGTTTTCTGAGGAGACACTGGTGGAGTCAAATTGTCTAACTTTGCATTGACCATGCAATTCCTTGCCTAGAGGGTAACCCAAGTTCCCTAAACTGATAATATGCACATATTACAATTGGCAAAAGGGAAGTCATTATACAATAAGGGAATGGTCAGGACAATATCACTTAAGGAAGAGAAAAGAGAGAGGGATGCACAATTCAAAGGCATCATTTCTTCTTTTGTCATCCCCATTCATTGTCCAACCTTCAGATGCATAGGGAACAATTGAAAATATCAAGGCTTTCATAGGGCTCTACTTTGTTTTTTTATTGATATCATTATTCTTCAGCATTTTGGAGAGGTCCTTGACAACCAACTTCCCTAATGCAGCATAGCTTTTCTTAATCTCTTGACTGTTGCTACTATGAGTGCTAATTGTGGGTCCAAGTAAAATTAAATTAACATAATCGCAATCTCTTGTACATCTAGGATGATGTTACCTATTGGTCCAGTTGTTGTGTGCCATCAGTTTGGAACTCAGTTATAGCTGACCCTCCAGCACGTTTTCAGAGGCAGTAAATGACATAGGAGGAGACTGTCCAACCTTCTCTCATGGAGCAGCTGGTGGATTAGAACCACATGTCTTTGGAATTATAGCACAGTTTTTTCCCACTAGGTTACCAAGTCTCCTTTGTACAATAGTAGGAATATATATATATATATATTTGTTGTTGTTATGTGTAAGATTGGCACAGGATAGAGCAAGGTTGAGGGCTGTTGTACATAGGGTCGCTAAGAGTCACAAGTGACTCAACAGTACATAACAAGAACAACAGTTCTGATAAACAAATAGCAGGGCATGTCTTTTTTTCCTTAACTAATAAAAACTTACAGAGCATGGTAAAAAAAAATTGCAAGTTGATAGTTCAGAAAAATAAATAAATGATATCTATTAGACTATCCTAATTTTAATAATACCTAATTTTAATAATACATGACTCCTATTTTTGTACATGTAGCATATTTTGCATTTTATCCTCAACGTTTTCATTTCTTCTGAGTCAATGTGTTTCGTTTTTTCTTGGAGTCTCTTCTTGGAGTTCTCTTGATCAGATCAAGGTCTCAACTTAACTCTGAGTTTGTCCTTTGAAAATTATACACCTACAACTACACATTCCCAATGCTGCTTAGAAAAAGAATCAACAAAATTATGAGAATGAGATTAAAGTGCTTATTTACTAAAGTGCAGAGAACAATTTCATGGCTTTTTCCTACTAAATAAAAAATTTTGCTTCTAGATGTGGCTAGATTCTATCCCCAAACCCTACAATACCTTTGTAAAGAATCAAAGTTTCTTCACAATTGTACAATCCTTAAAGGTTACGGAGTACCCAGAAAGCAATGTTAAGCATAGTATTATTTGACCTTGCTAACTAAAACCATAAGAGTGCTCTGGTGCCATAGTCACTAGGACTTTCTCCTCTGATCCAAAAGCAGTGCCTCTCTGGTGGAAGGAAGGTCTACAATCTCCACCTGAGCACTTTACCACCTATTGCAAACCCCCAGGAGGGTTTTTAAATACATTCATACTCAACAGCAGTGAGTTTGAATTTTTGAAACTAAACAGGAGTGAGCAGATTAATATGTTTTCATTACATGTATGATATACTTATGTGAAATTCTTCATTAAAAATAAGAAATCATTAGGAAGCTTGTACTTACTGTGCTTATTATACAAACCACCCCTTTCCTCAGGGAACACAATTCAAGTAATGCAAGACTCTTGAGTGTTACAAATGTAGTCTCCAGTTTCTAAGCGTCCAGTTTTCATGTTCTCTCTAGCTTTCACAACACTCCTTCCTTTGCTGGTTAACTATAATCAGTCTTTCAAAGCCAGATAAGGGGGCGATTCATCTGGAAAGTCTGACCTAAGCTCCTAGTTCAGACTACCTGTCACTATCCTTATTTCTCTGTTATCCTAAACATGACCTCATCCTGACAATATTTCTCTGACCTTCGCAGTATAAGCTATTTGCATTCATGGGTATTCCCTATTCCATAATGGAATAGGTAGTTCCATATTCCAAGTCTTTAGTATAGAGTGTAACTCTAGCTGAGTGTTCCCTCAGAAACACAAAGAATTCCAATTCCATGTAATCAAGTAGAACCAACTCATGGCTGACCTTCTATCAGGTTTTCAAGGCTGTAAGGCACTTGGGAGGAGACTTCCCATCGTGTGTATTGTTGCTGCTGAGTTCTGCCAGAGACAACTCTTCACAGACCGGGCCCACTGGGGTTCCCTGAATTTTACCTGTTGTTGTTAGGCACCATCAAGTCATATATGAATCACAGTGACCCTATGAACAACAGACCTGGGCCTTATATTATCATGTGCCATCCTCACCATCTCTGATAGATTTGAGCCCATTGTTGCAGTCACCGTGTCAATCCACCTCATTGGAGGATCTTTCTTCTCTTTTGTTGAACCTCCATATTTCCAAGCATGATGTCCCTTTTCAAGAAATAGCCTCTCTTAGCAACATGTCCATGGTGTGACTAAAGCTTCATTATCCCTGTTTCCAAGAAGCAAACTTTTTACCTTTCCAAGGCATATCTGTTTCTTCTCTTGGCAGTCTGTGGGATATTCAGTACTCTACTCCAACACCACTAGTTAAGGCATCAATTTATTTTCTGTCATTCTTATTCATTGTCTACTTTTCAGAAGCATAGCAAATAATTGAAAGACTATAGCCTGAATCAGGCACACTTTAGTCTTCAAACTGACATCATTTCAACTCAGTATTTTAAAGAAGTCCCTGACCGCAGACTTTCTTAATGCAGTACATCCATCTCTTGATCTCCTGATTGCTGGTACCAATGATGTTTATTATGGATCCAAATAAAATTAAATCGTTGGAAGTTTCAATTCTTTCTCCATCTATCATGATGTTGTCTATTGGCTCAACGCTAAAGACCTTTGTGTTGTCAATGTTGACATGAAGTTCATATTGTCTTTGATCCTCTACACCAAGCATTTCAGGTCCTCCTGACCTTCAGCAACCAAGGTTGTGTCACCATGTAATGTATGTTGTTGATGAATTTTCCTCTGATGATTATGCTACATTCTTCTTCATAGAGTCTAGTCTTGATTTTCTCTTATTGTTCTCAAATATCATTGAGTTGCAACAGACTCATTGTTGACAGTCAGCCAGGTTGTAAGAAAAAATAAATCTCATGGAAGAACATCTCCCATCTTTCTCTTGCAGAACACCTGGAGGGTTCAAACCATGTGCCTTTAGGTTGACAGGGAAACTCCTTACCATTAAGTCACCAGAGTAGTCTCACTGTGAAGACAAAAACTCTTGAGTTTTAGCAGAGGTCTTAGGTATGTTTATTGATGAGATCTTAAAAAAATACTCTTAAATATCTTTCCTGTGAACAGCTCTTGAATAATTTCTATTTTCCCAGATATATTCAATTAACATTACTAGAATTGAACCATAAGAATTTTATTATCCTTTTGATAGCAGTAAAGCAAATGAACTCTATAGGAGTAAGCTAAATTTTTCACACTTACTGTGTCAGAAAAAATAAGAATCCAAGGTTTCAAAGAATTAATGTAAAAGGAAAACAGATTATATTGCTTCTAACCCTAGATCCTCCACTTATTCTAAGACATTGTGGAAATTCTCCAACATGCTGGCCTCAATTTCCCATCTGTAAAGTGGAGATGATTATAGTACTCCCCACATTGAGTTATAATGATGATAAAATGAGTCAATTAATGGAAGAACCTCAGAAAATCAGTCTGATAAGTAATCTTTCCTGTTTAATAATGATACATCTTCCTAGCATTTTCCTCAGAGTCCCCATTACCTCCTTGTTCCTCAGGCTATAGATAAGGGGGTTCAGCATAGGTGTAATAATTGCATAAAACACAGAGAGATGCTGATCCACCTCTGAGGAGAGTGAGGAACTTGGGTTCATGTAGATAACCATGGTTGGAGCAAAGTAGAGGGTTACTACACAAAGGTGAGAGGAGCAAGTAGCCAGAGCCTTTTTCTTACCCTCAGAAGAGTTCATATGAAGGACAGTGAGAAAGATAAGGATGTAAGAGGTCAAGATAAGTCCAAAAAGAATAAGAAGGAAAACTATACTTGCTGCCAATACCACTTTCTCATAAGTGGACGTGTCTTCACAAGCAAGTTTCAGAAGTGCCATGACTTCACAATAAAAGTGGTGAATTACTTTGGAGTCACAGGTAGAAAAGTGCATAACCCAGGTAGTGTAAATTAGGGATACAAGAATACCCCCAACCCATGAACTGGCTGCCATTTGCACACAGACTCTGTGAGTCATTAAGATTGGGTATCTCAAGGGACTACAAATGGCCAAGTAGCGGTCAAAGGCCATGAGGGTCAGAAGAACACATTCAGCCACACCTAGTGTCAAGTAAAGGAAAATTTGGGCTCCACAGCCGACACGGGAGATAGCTCTGTGTCCTGAAAAGAAATCAACAACCATCTTGGGGACGGTGGTGGAGATGAGTGTGAGGTCCATGAGGGAGAGTTGGCTGAGCAGGAGGTACATGGGTGTGTGGAGGTTGGCATTGCTCCAGATCAACAAGACCAGGGTAGAGTTTCCAGCTGTGGCTGCCATGAAGACCAGAAGAATTATGGCAATAAACACCCCACCATCCTGAGAGTCAAAGAGACCCAAGAGAATGAAATCTGTGGTGATGGATTTATTTTCTGGCTTCATGTCTTAGTATACTGGTTAACTGTGGATATAACAGATTATCAGAAAAAATACAGATAAAATCTCCTTACTTCCTGTATATGTTCATTACCAAGTTGAAACTCTTTCTGAATTTCAAATCCCAATGTGTAGGAAAATGTCTTGTATAATGTGTCAATGTCCACTGTGAAATATCCATCAACAATAATACTCAATAGAAATGGAATACATTACTTGGGCCACCACTAGGCTGCATTGCTCAGCAAAACAGCAAAATTCTTTCTTTCATGCAAAGTATAGGTGCATTCTTAGCCCACATGCCTTGGGCTGAGTTCTTTAAAGGAGCAAAATCCACAAAGTACATAATTAAATAAATAGAGACAGATTTGTTTCAAGAAAACAGCTCATACAGTTGTGGAGGAACAGAGAAATCATCAGTCTAGAAGATTCTCTTGATTCACATAGTTTCAGGGGCTAAAGAATCCAAAATTAACAGGTCAGCTAGAAGAATGCTGGCTCACAGAGTAGTGAGAGCTGATAAATCCAAAATCTGCTGGTCATGTGGCAGGATGATATTCATATCTCAAAAACCAGAGACCAGAGGATGTCCATCAAGATGCACAATGAAGAACGGTAAGCTTTTCCAGAATGTGCATATATCCAGAGTGTAGGTAGGCACCTTCTCATAGTGAAAACCACTTTTTAACTTGTAGGCCGTTAACTTAAGATTTTTTAAAAAAGGAGAATAATTACACAACATTTTCCAAACTTCAGAAAGTCATAGTCTGGCCAAGCTGACTCATCATCTATCCCTAGTGGTGTAGGTACTGGACAACATGAACTCACACTCCATTAAGCACAAGGTTCTCAAGAGGAACCACTACCTTGGTCTGAATTTTCTGAAAGAGTTTTTTATTCACCTTCAACAGGCTTTGTTATCTAGAAAGATAATAGGGTCAGCAAGGATGACGAATTTTAGAATTATATGTACAGTTCATCAAAACCACAAGTGGCCGATAATAGTAATCACCGTGTATGGTATCCATCAACCACTATTACGAGTTCACCTTCTTTGTACAGTATTCTCTACTCCCTTCACTATTCTATGTTTTTTACTTCCATTTTGTTGAATCACATATTTTTAAGAAAATCCATATAAAATAGTCTATATTGAATTGTCCAAAATTACTGATTTCTAACTGTAAAATTCCATATGTCCTTTCTTTCTTAGTTAAGATAAAGCAAGGAAATATAAGGACAAAAATTATGGCAAAAAAGTTACAATTTATAATTTAAAGCTAGTAATATATAAATATTCAGGAATATTTGCAAACTAGTTGGTTATTTACTTGGTCACTAAATAAATATCCACGGAAAATTCTTTAAACATCTAGTGAGAAAAATGTATTAGATTTTCCGGATTTTTTTGAACATACGCTCCAGACATTCTTTATGTGGAATCATTAAAATTTAAAGCACCGTGAAGTAAAAGCAATAAGAATCTAAAGATATATTGCTGTAATGTTTCTGTTGCTTAAAAAAAAAGTTAATATAAAGAAAAAAAATTAACTGAAACAAGTCTTTACCAGAGGATGATCTTGAGAACACATTTGCCAGGAGAAGGGTTTTGAATCAAGTTTTCCTGATTCAACCCCTTTTGAAATTCACATTAATATATCAAGCAATTAGAAGATTCTTCCACTTGAAACAAAACTACTTACCCTACTCATATAACAGGTTGGAGAGGAGAAGAATGAAATCTGAAAGAAAATATCAGTGGAAGAGCAGGTAGATACTAGCTGGTACAAAGTCAGGCAACAGTCCTCGCCCACTCTGACCACAAAAAGTCTGTGACTAATATGGGGTCCATGTGCTGCTTATGTAAGAGAGCCTCAGTTCTGGGTTCTCTGGTCTAAGCCCTCCAGCCTTCACCATGCAATCAAGGTTATATAACACTAGCAACTCAGTAAGGAACACTGTCTCAGGGTGATGCAGTAGTACCAGAACCAAGTCTCAGGAGAGTGTTAGAGTGTCTAACTCTGGACACTGTGGTCTCAGTCCTTCCAGAATATGTGTCAGAGTGAGCATGAGCCCAAATTCCTTCTATGTATCTCTGGACTCAAAGTTTAGGGTAACCCAGGTGCTGTGCTTGTGCAGTCAAGAATGTGGGAATCCAAGTGTCCTCTTGGCCTTCAGGAAATGCTGTGTTCCCCAAACTTTCAGAAGATGCTAAATAATCTAGGATGCCTTTGACAGCACTTGAATTCTTTCTAAAGGGCAGGGAACATAAAAATGGTCATTAATTTACAACTTTGTGAAATAGAACGTTCGGCTATATCTATACACAAGTACATCTATGTAATAAGTTTACCTCAAGGGACCAGTTTTCAAGTGACAACCAGATGAGTAGTTTTGTAGGGTTACAATATATATAAGTGCATATATTTGTGTCACAGGCATCCAAGAAATCCATCTCTTCTTTGTTCTCTCCTATGCTCAACCAATTTCCTGTTTCTCTGCCCATGATTACTTTGGAATTCTCTTCATATACAGTAATGATTTTTATGGGATCCAAAACAACAAGTCTCACACAGAATTCCTATTCCTTGTACCCATATATGTAATTCACTGAAAATGAACTTGTATTTTCCATCTCTGAGCTACCTTGCCATCATGTATTGGCTCAATCCTTATTATCTCTCAGAGTCCTGGAATCTCTTGTATTTTTCTTTATGTGCTGGAGTTGATGTACAGTGACCTTCGGGCTCTTAAAGTAGACAATAATGCCTTTGTGTGGAAATAGCATATGACCTCTGATAGACACTTAGCACTCTGGACAGAGCTTAAATACACCAGGACTAAAAGCACTGTTTGTTCTCTAGGGAATGTACTGCCTCATTGTGATACCTACTATATAATAAAAGCTCAGGCTCCAGGAAGCTGGGAGGGTAAAATATAATAATAATAAAAAATAATATAAGCAGGAAAAAACCACACACACAAAACCCATTATCAAGGAAACTGCAGTCCCTGGATGGCATACATTTCAGCTATTAAACAGAAAGTTGGAGGTTAAAGTCTACAATAGCTACTTCAAAAGAAAGGCCCAATGATCCACTTTCAAGATTCATCCATCAAAAACCAAGTGTAGCACAGTTTTACTGCGACATATATATGGTCACCATAAGTCAATATGTTTAAAAGATAACTGGTAGTAATAATGATATCTAATAATCTGCTCCCAGTCTTTGGAATTTTGGGAGTTAGTACATCAGAAACTCACAAATACTCCATTTCTTTCTACATTCAATTTTTTTTAAAATTAATTTTAATGAAAGTTTACAGAGACTTAGTTTTTCCAGTCATTCACTGTTGCGCTTTTCTGACTGACTACCCCCTACCCCAAATCACTCTTCTCCCTGAAAAGTAAAAGAAAAACTCTTTCATTATTATGCAATCCCTCCTCCTAAGTCCACTCCACTGTGCAGCCTTCATTCTGGACTCCTGTCATGACAATAATACCCGATAATATATCCCTTTTAAACAGTTCTCTTCATCTGTTTCAGTGCAATGTGTGTGTGTGTGTGTGTGTGTATATATATATATATATAATTCCTCCCCTCCTTCTCTGTCTTCCCTCATCCCTGATGTCAGTCCCATTCTACATCAGTGGCACTATGCAATATTATATGCAATATTTTATTATGACCCTCCAGTTATTGGCCAGTTTGTTGTTTTTTGATTACTTGCACACTGCTGAGATCTTTGAAGCTATGCCATTGATATTTCAAACACCATCAAGGTCCTCACAGTAAACAAGTTTATATAGAGCTTCCATATTAGTCAAAGAAGAACTGGATATCCATTTTATATATAACAGCCCCTTTGAAAACCCTATAAATCACTGAAGGACCTTGTTGTATGTAGTGCTAGAAGATGAACTCTTCAGGTTTGAAGATGTATACAATTCAATTGGGAAGAGCTGCCTCCTCTTAAGTCTACCTTAATGAACTTGATGGAATAAGGTTTTCAGTCAACAAAAGATGTTATAATGTTGTGGCAAAACTCAAAACGGAGGTAAACAATTGCCAACATCAATTAATATTTGGGACATGGTATATATGAGGTAATAATCTAGGAAAGTTGAAAATTATAAAAAATAAAACAGAACACATACGTATCAACTTCTTAAGCATTAGTGAATGGAGATGGACTGGTATTGGCCATTCTAAACTAGGCAATCATGTAATATTCCACTATGCTGGAAATAACAAATTGAACAGAAATGGTCTTGCCTTCATGGTCAAAAAAGAACATTTAAAGATCTATCTTGAATAAGAAAGCTGTTAGTGACAGGATACTAGCCATATCTATACTACAAAGACCTGTTAATAAAAGCATTATTCAAATACATGCACCAAAAACTAAAGCCAAAGATGAAGAAATTGAGGATTTCTACTAATTTTTGCGTGTTGATTTAATCTTGCTTGGATCTACAATAACATCCGTGGAACCACCAACTAAGAACTCCAAAGATGTATTGGAAAAATTTGCTGCAAAGGATCACTCTAAAGTGTTCAAGAACAGAGGTATCAATTTAAAGACTAAGATACCTCTGTTTCAAACTGGTGTTTTTATGTGCCATTGAATTGCTTGCGACTCATAGTGACCCTAAGTACAACAGCCCTGAAACCTGCTCTATCCTGTGCCAACCTTATTGTCTCTGACACACCTACCCTCATTATCCAAGTCATTGAATTAAACTACCTCATCGAGGGTTTCATCTCTTGTGCTGTCCCTCCACACTTCCAAATATGATGTCCCTCTCCAAGGACTGGTACCTTTTTGCAACATGCCCAAAGTATGTCAGATGAAGCCTCCGAATACTTCCCTCCAACGAACAGCCCAGTCTCACCTTCTCTAGGACAAATCTGTTTGTTTTTCTGGCAGTCTATGGTATATTCAATACTATTGTCCATGACCACAGCTAAAAGGCTAATCCCTAGTCATTATCCAGCCTTCTG